GTTTTCCAAATGTGTGTGTATGTGTGTGTGTAATATAATATTTATAATATAAATTAGCTACACCTGCAAAGTGAAAATCAATGAATGCAATAATATTCATCTGATGTAGTAGGCAATATACCGACTTGCCATTTAATAATGTTACTACATCATGTCTTAATTTGCAAACAAATGCCTCAAATTACTTATAAAAATAGATGTATGAATACTGTAGGATAGAATACAAGCATCACGACGTGGTGTCTTACAACTAATAAAAAAAAAAGCTAATTCTGGATATGAATTTACGAATAAATAATCAAACAATAATCTCACGCAAGTAACAGATTTGACATATTCATTACAGATATTTAATAAATGAAATGATTTGAAATTCATCGTGACTCATTACACGATGGAGGTCGTGCATCATTATGATGTTTAAAGAATTTGTAGTCTCGAGCAAACATTCTAAAACTTTCAAGGACTAGAACCAATGACCGTGTGACTGAATGACAAGAACCAATGTAGTAGAACTTGACACCACCACCCCCACCCCCTCACCCCAATATCTTAACCTTTGGTAAATTATATTCAATGACACTTAATACATGTCAGTGTTCTCCCGAAGCCGGATTTGCCGGCAATATTTGCTGGATTTCCCGATCGGAAATTTAAACAAGAAATATTTCCTATAAAAATACGCCTTTACCTTTACCTTATTCTATTTGTTTATTTTAAAAATCATTCAATCGTTCAATTCATTATTAATGCCAGACACATTTGTAATTTTAGACCTGATTGTAATTTCACCCCCAAAATTCTCAGCTCAGTGCTACGCATTACGAACACCAGAATCAATGTTCTTCGTGGTGAAGACAGCATGTAATTTATATATTCATTTAGGCCTATATATTTCATATACAATTCGTATTCTATCAAATGTCATAAAAAATAGACAAAAATATTTGTTGTTTGAAGGAAACATAAACAATTCCCTCATCCATCATGTTCTACTAATACCTCTCCGCTCCCCACCCCAACCCAAAAAGTCATCACTTTGTTGTACTTTTGGATAATTATATTTCCTGTGATTACAGTTTTAGAAGATTAAAATAATGAAATTCATTGTAACACATAAGCAAAGATGAGTATTAAAGGATCAATTAACTGTTCTTACAGCAACCTCCAAATTTGGTAATTAAGCTTATATCGCTAACATTATTAGATCAGTAAGTGTAATGACACCATTTGCAATTTTTCTCACGTTCACAAACACAAAGTAGTATTAATCTTATTATCTACTGACATTCTCATACAAAAGTATAGCAACAGGCTGAAAGCAATAAATGTATAAAAAAGAGACCAATATATAGGCATATATATCAGGCCATTATCTGAAGAGTGTTGCACTATTATTTGTAGCACAATACTATAGTAATAAAATGTCTGATCAAACCAACTGTTGAACCTCTTTTATGTTTTTTTTAATTAATCGCTCTGGTTTAATTACCACTGAGCACTCTGCTGTTGATGATTGTAAAACATTCAATCGTTTTATTCTTTCTGAATACCGAATAATACAATAAAGGCGTTTAAGGGCGATTCAATTATTTCATTTAATGGTAGTATCGAGTGGTAAATTTCAGAAAATGTTTTGAATTTCTGTGACCTTGACCCACTCCCCCTAAGCTTAATCACCTTAAGTCAATGTGTATCATCCACTAAACTTATGGTGATCCATTAATTAGTGTTTGCGCTAATATCAGACAGCCTATTGGTTCGTTGAAATATGAAATATTATTACAACCCAATAAGTAAAATTGGTATGGCAAGTAGGTAAAAATTATTGACATTATTATTATTATTACCACTTCAAAAATAAAAATTGTCAAGTACGTCTTTACAATTTAATCATTAAAAATATAAACTGGATAAAAAAAATATATTCAATACTTTTCAGTTGGATCATGTCTCTTTTTTCCTTGACCTACATTTCATTCGCTTTTCAATAACATTTTTGGATTTTATATATAACATTTCTAATCAAAAAATAGTTTAATAAAATTACAATATATAAGCCCACAGAGAAAAAGAATATAGAAGCAATAAATTAAAATGTCAAAGAAACACACAATATATGAGTTATTCCCTTAAGATACGATAATAAATTGCTATTTAAATGCTGTCATATGTGGAAGGCTTTGAATAAGCCAATTGTATCTGAAAAATTAAGAACAGGGAGCAACCAATAATTCCTCAAATGTATCCACATCACTATGGCAAGTAATGGTTACACAAGTACATAATGTTATTAAAACTTGAAATAATTTTAATGGCAGTACAATGGATGCGAGACATAGTTTTAGAAGATGAAAGTGAACATTATAGGGTCTGCTATATGAAGATGAAATGATTTAAACTGTAAAGATATGTATACAGAAGAATGGTATAATAATAGCCCTAATAATAATAATACATTTATAAAAATTTGAGTGAAGACGTAGCCTGTTGGTTCAGATGCATTCCAATGATTCTGAGGTGGTATACCATTAAGAATTTCACCAACTGTGGATGATAGATAATATATTATAGATTTTTTAAAACCATATTTATAGAGTAACCCTTCTAGTGTGTCCTAGAAGGTTGGCTGATATCCAGGGGCCCTCTTAAATAAATAAAATAAAGTGATGCTTTTATCAGCGAAGTCTCTTTCATGAGGCTTAGGGAGTGGAGTTGATTTTAGTCATGAGAAAAAGTCCTGTCACAGAAATTGAACCCAAGACCCTGGGTTCAGAAGGCAAGCACCTTAATCAACAAGCTATTCAACTACACTCCATAACATGGGAATCAATTGATTGTAACTAAAATAATTCTGAATAATCAGAATAACATTTTAAAATATATTTCTTATATAGTAACATGTAGGACTATTGTACTAGTTTTACACTGTTTTTGAATAAAAAGATTAAAATATATACAATATATACATTACAATAATAATCTATATAGATAAATAAACATTTTAATGCCAATATTATTTTGTTTTTTGCTGTAGTGTAACAACTACAGTGATCAGATTTGACTGGAGGAATACTCTCTTCCCAAGAATCAGGCCCGTAGGAAGCAGTTTATTATTGGTCCGGCAAGCATTCCCAACCATCACACCCCCACAATATTCACTCAGAGAGCAATATTTACCAGTGGCAGCACCAGATGAGATCCACACCTACCTGAGCCCCATTCTCTACTATTTTCTGACTAACTAATGTAATAAAATTCACCCAAATTCATCAAATACCCGTAACTCCAGGGGCTTCAGAATGTATCATATTTCAACTAGGTACTCAGAGTCACATGGACTTAATATCTCGTTCAAATTTAAGTCTGAGAATGCATTTCTGGCCATCTAGAGGTGCCTTATAAATATTTTTACCTAAGCCTCAATCATGGTGTGGCTGATGTGATCTAGATAATTATTATTATTAATATCATCAATACCATCATCATTTATTAATTTAATATAGCCTACAACTATCACTCCATGGCAGTATACCTTAACAACCCATGGGCACTTAATTTAATATCAAGATCAAAGCTCATAGAATTTATCGTCTCCGCAGATTTTATCTATGTCTGAGATAATATTACGTCGATTGGTCATGCACTTTCATACAAATAGAATCACTAATTTAGATTAGTAGTTAATTTAATGAATTTAAATTCAATTCCTCAACCCTAAATAGATAATATTATGTGGATTGGTGATGCACTTTCATACAAACAGAATCACTAATTTAGATTAGTAGTCAATTTAATGAATTACTATATTTAATAAACCTATATATATCAGGCTTATGTGGTTTACATTTGAATACAGGTTTTATGTATTTATTTTGGTATACAAATCCTCAAACTATCTATTAAAGCTGTTAGGCATCGTTATATTCCTATATAGACTAAAGAAATGTTATAGAGAATTTAAATGAATGGCGTCAATAGATATTTTTTAAAATCACCATTCTTTTAACACAAAGCTAACCCTTGAGGACCGAACCCTGAAAAGACCCCAAGTTCCAGCGGTGGTCTCGATAGAGTACCACAGTCATGCCGTCACGACACCTCTATTGTCAACAGACATTGGTCACCGTTATTACGCCTGAATGACTTCATAGGCTTTCTGGAATAGGCATTTTAAAATCTAATATTTTACCATCAAAATGTACAAACACAAAAGCTCGCATTACATTAGTTATCGAACACACATCATCAATTAAAATTTACAAAGAAAAAGCTAAGATACAACATCTTAATAATTACGTTAGAAATTGGGATCAATGGTGTGTCAGTGGGAAAAATGGCATCCGGTTGAATGCATTTTGCAAAAATAGCAACGGAATAGTATCATGTGGTATCGTGACGTAACACTACAGTACTCTATAGAAGGGAAAACTGTATTAAAAAAATATATGCAATGAAATGTAATTTGTGTTCTGATTTTACAACGTACTGTACAGTACACTATCTTTTGGAAATTGAGTTTTATTTAATTAGAAGACATGTCAGGTATGTGAAAACTAATGAAAGTTTCTGAAATGTCACATAATCCTTTTAAAATATCCATTGCGTGTGGTGCGCTGACATACAGTAGTGTACACATTTAGGAAAGAACTGGACCTCGATGCTTGAATGATTGATTGATGATTGATTGTATGGTTGATGATTGATGGATTAGTGATTAATTAATGATGGATTGCATGTTTCATGTTTGATTGATTGTATGAATGATTAAACTATTGATTACATGGTTGATTAATGATTGATTGATGATTGATTAATGATTAACTATTGATGGATTGCATGTTTGATGTTTGATTGCATTGTTGATGATTGACTGATTGTTGATGATTGACTGATTGTTGATGATTGACTGATGATTGATTTGATGATTGATTACATGGTTGATTGATTGATTGATGATTGATTGATGATTGATTACATGGTTGATGATTGATTGATGATTGATTACATGGTTGATGATTTATTGATGATTGATCACTGATTGATTGACTGATTACATGGTTGATGATAGATTGATGATGATTGCATGGTAGATGATTGATGCTTGATTAATGATGGATTGCAAGTTTAATGTTTGATTGACTGCATGAATGGTTACACAATTGATCACTGATTGATTGACTGCATTGTTGATGATTGCTTCATTATTGCTTGATGATTGATTATTGATTGACAACTGATTGCATGTTTGATTATTGATTGCATGTCTGGTTGAATGACTGCCTGAATGATTACACTATTGATTACTGTTTGATTGATTGATAAGTCTAGCTTCTTGAATACAGTGGCACATCAATGGCAACTGAGAACTCGCCTGCTCGGGACCAGTAGTCAACAGCTCTTACACGATAATATCCTTTGGTTGAACCTGTAAGATAAAAAACAATAACAAGGAGTGTAACATCGTGTTTAGCCTATCAGTGGAAAAGTAGAAATTGGTAAATATTGGATTGAATTTAGCAGCAAGCTCAGCTGATTGGTAGTGCCACTGAATGGTAGCTTAAGAATCTTGGGTTTGAAAAATAATTAATTATTTCACTTTATCTGAAAAAAGTAATCTGCACTGATTGACTAGCAAGGAGAATGAAAAAACCAATTTTAGATATTGTACTGTATAAAGATAAGTCAATAGCATTAGAAAAACACAAGGGCTTTTCTACTATAATAAATTATCCTACACAAATAATTGGCAGCAAGTACTTGGAAAAATCACACTGAATAATGGTATATTACTAGAACAATGATTATATTAAGCATTTTTCAGTTTCACAGCAGTATTAAACCTGCTTCACGCGATGAAACTAATCTCTGCTCCACGCGACCAAACTAATCTCAGCTTCACGTGACCAAACTAATCTCAGTTTTATGTGAGCAAACAGCTCAGCCGGACAATTCTTGTGCGTATTATAAAACTCAGCTGAACCAGTCTTGTGTGTAAATATAGGAGCTCAGGTGAACCATCCTTGTGTGTAAACACCTCAGCTTAACTCCACCTTGTGTGTAAACAGCTAAGCCCAACCATCCTTGCCTGTAAACAGTTCAGCCCAATCTCTTTAGATGCCTGTAATTTTATAATTTTTTTGTTTTTGTAATTTATAAATGTGTAAAGTACATAGATACTATATATTTAATATAACTATTAAACATCAAACTATTACCATTATGACAATTATTATTATTTAGGTACAGTACTGTGAAAATAGTTTTTTATAATAAAATTAATTGTTTGAAATCTTTTTTATTTAAACATGTACATGTATACTTTTTCCTTGAACCTATTTAAATTTTTGTATGTATGTTATATAGCACTCTTAAAACCAAAAAAGCTACTGAATTAACTTACAATAAATTAGCCCACATACAATATAAAAGCAATAAATTAATATGACAAATGTATGAAAGTGAGTGAATCCCACAAATCACGATATATTACTATTCAAACATTGACTGAATTTATGATATATGGACAAACTTGAATTAACCACTTGTGTCTGAATGAGAACTGAAAGAGCAACCAAATTTGCCTTCAACTTACCAAAAGCAAGACCTATTCTTTCTCTATGTATATACATGGCATGTAATGGTTTCATATAGTGCAATAAATCAATAAAACCAGGGAACAGTGGAATTACTGTTACTTGAAATAGTTTAATGGCAATATAAACAGCATGATACACAGTTTAAGAGGATAATGTTAATATAAATTAATAACATATGACTCAGAATACCAGTTTTTCATCATAGTTAGGACTTTTATGTAAAGGGCCTAGAGAAATCTATGCAGTGGCAGATATAGGATTTAAGCATTGGAGGGAGGGGAGCGGTGGCTAGGTAGTGTAAACAGGCTGATTAAATAGGGAGGAGTCTTGGTATTCTTTCCGGGTTGTATTAAAAACAGGTTACAACAATGATGTAATAGTTCCTAACATGAGAGGATTGAGCTTGAGGCTGTCACATCTACCAGGTTCTACAGAGTACTACAGTACATTGTTACATCATGATACCATGTGATACTACTCTGTTGCTATCGGTGACACAAAATGCCTTCAACCGATGCCATTTTCTCCACAGACAAACCATTGATACCAATTTCTAACGTAATTATTAAGAAGTTGTATCCTAATTTTTCTTTGTAAATGTTAATTGATGATTAAATGTGTGTACGATAACTAATAAAATGCGAGATTTTTGTGTTTTTAGTACATTTTGATGGTAAATTATTAGGTTTTTAAAATGCCCATTCCAGAAAGCCTATTCTAAACCATTAAAATTATGAAGTCATTCAGGCGTAATGAACGTCCAGAATGTGGTACTCTAAATACAGTAGTCAATATGGCCAATAAAAAAAAATTATTAGTTTATCACCCTTGCGCGCATGTCTTCTATGGTACTGAAAAAATATATATATTTTTTAAGAAAACTTAAAACTTTTTAAAATTTTTTAAAATTAAATACTGTAGTAGATATTGTTCCTACTATTTCAACCAAGTTTTACTTTGAATATCAAAGCACCAGCTAACAACCTAAGAATAATATTTGGCTTTAGCAAAATAAAAAAAATTAAAAAAAGCCTCCCTCCCTCATCACTTTTCCAGCCTAGATAGGGTGATAAACTAATAATATTTTTTATAGGGTCTAAAGTGAAAAAATTAGCTAGCTTTATGAAGATGAAATGATTATTAATACAAAGAAATGTATATGAGGCTTGCCATGCCAAAACCAGCATTAGTGACGAAAACAAGAAAATTTAGTAAGAATAGTTTATTTGAAAAAATTTATAAAACAGAAAGTAGAACGGCATTATACTGGTTATACAACTTCTTTATTGAGATATACAAAATGGATAAGAAAAGATAAAACCCGATTCATAGTCTCAGGAAACTTATAACAAACTTAGAATCCAAGATTTTCCATTTCAGAAATTACATGTTAAAAGTACTATAAGACTGATTAAAATATTGCAATATAAAACTGCAAATTTAAATTATTGTCAAGTTTAATAAAATTTTGATTGCATGATTACTGCATTAAGAGCTAGGGCGTAATGACGTCTCATGCGGCCGTGATGAGTTTCAGTTGTTGGGCCGAATCTACGTTGTGCAGAGAATGTAGGACAGACACAGATAAGTGAATTTGTCCTACGACCTTGTTGTCATTCCAAACAAAACTTCCTGATAGTGATAATGATACAAAACCAAATTTGTGGTAAAGACAAGCCAAACCAGTCACTCGCTGCAAATCGTGTTTCAGAGAAAATAGCCGAAACATGCTGGAATGTCAAATATTTAAAGATCTACTTTATTGCACTAAACTTTATAAATCTATACAACATGTTATGCTATTATTTTCCCCCAATTTCAATGTTGAAACAACACTTTTTAAAGGATTTCATGATAGTTTCTGCATAAGAAATACCCGAAATCATAAACTTTGAAGACTTATTTCTCATATATTGTTCTTTAAACAGCTGTATGTCTAAATGCTTGTAACTTCATAATGAAATAATTGGATTTGAATGATTTTTTTACCATTTTATAGCTCTTATTTTACTCTTTAACCCTGTATTAATGACTCAAAATAGCTTTTTGCGACGAGTGACTGGTTTCGTCTTTGCCACATTTTCTGATCTTACAGTACTTTTAATATCAGATCTTCTTTTGCAGAAAAGCATAACAGAATAGTCCATTGATGAGTGACAACAATCCTTCAATTGGTTATTACTTCTCCAATACTATCAGGGAGAAGACTAATCCACACATTGTCTTTTGGATTCACCATCGTTCAATAGCGATGACAAGTATGGGTTAAATGATCAAACAAGATAAATATATTCATTTTTTCGTAAGATGAAATTCTCTTTAAGCTAAAACAACAACCACCTTAAAAACAAACGCATAGTGAAATGATGCTATATAAACAGTCATAAGCCATATACAAAGAAGTAATGACAAATGCATAAAGAACTGATGTTATCTAAACAGTCGTAAGCCGTATACAAAGAAGTAATGGCCTCATCCTTCAACTTCATAATGGTTAAACATAGAAATGAAAGCAAATGAAATTTTGTAGAGCCCAACGTAAGTGATCAGTAAATTACTGTATGAATACCTGTAGGCAAGGTGTACCAGTGTACTGTATGATTAACCAGTAAAACGAGATGAAACATGTAACCGTGTATGTAATATGTACAGTATGATAAACTTATACGTGACATATATATACTACTGTATATCATATGAATCATTACAGCATCAGGATCGTGTGGTGATCTATGACCGAAAAACTGCAGAGTACTGTATGTCAAGTTTAAACTATGTGTTCGCAACGTACGCAAATACATGGTGGACACTCCTGCATTATTGACAAATTTGGGTATCTATTGGCGAGTTGAATGGCTGAGCGGTTAAAGCAGGGGCATAGTAACCATAGCAAACAATACTGGTATGGGTTTGCGGCTGGCATGCTCCTAGTTCTGGTGGTGAAACAAGTCTTCTCGGATAAGGACTATAAACCATAGGGCCAGTGTACACAAATGCTCATGTGCACTTCAAAGAACCCAGTACATCTTTTGATACGAGTAGGGGTCACCCCGGTGGCCTGGTCCACTCTACCCCTGTCATGGACAGATGAAAGTGCGCCGTTTACCGGCTGCAGAGGACATGAAGTGACCCTCAGGGGAGGAGAGAGTTATTAAAAAGTCTAATATCTAGTACACTGCGCCACGAGCAATGACTGTTAGAATAGCGCCATATAAATGGAACAATTGGATTTGATTTATTACCGAACTTGAAAACCAGCTTCATTTAATCAGACAGCAAAATACAGATATGTCTGTTGGTAGGGATCACCATAAAATTTATAGGAGGGGTATGTATAGGTTTAAGAGGCGATCAAATTTTAAAAAGCCACGATCACGTAAAGTTAAAAAAATCACATAATAAAGTGTTCTGGAAGTATGTACTTTAGAATATTCATGTTTCATTATACAACAGTAATCTGTATCCCAGAACATGAAAATAATATGATAATTTTATTTGCTACAGTAACTCATACTACCACAACTGATAATAGCAATATTAATAAAGGTAGGAGAATATCCCATAACTTGCAGCGTCATTGTGCTGAATTGCACATGGGCAATTAATGATAAAACATTCATGTTTCATTACATATAACATATACTATATCCTCGAAGTATCCTGTATAATTTTTGTGCCGATTACTGAACTTATAACCTGGCAACTGATATTACATTAAATAGCTGTAATCAGCAGTATTCGGTGTGTAAAGTCGAGCAATCCCTGCCCCTAACAGTCATCGGAAGACACAATTCTATGTAGAATGCCACGTGCGCAACAGAATTTTTTT